GCTCTTCGTGGAGGGGTCTCTCTTGCTGGCCCACTTCTCAGGGTGGGTGCTGGGCCCCTCTGCTGCCTGTACTGTCCCCTAAGCAGCGCCATTCACAGCCACGTCGTCACGTCCCACCCACCCGTCAGCGATTCTGGAATGCGGCTGTCTACCCCCAGCCCAGCCCCTAGGTTTTGGCCTGGGAGAACACGTGACCCCCAAAACCCCACTCGGACGCCCTAATGACACCTGACGTGCCGCAGAGCTCGGATCTCTGGTAAACGCACAGTGGTTCCCTCCCAGCCTGTCTCACGCCCCTTCCCGTCCTCCGGGCCAGCCTCCAGGGCCGTCATCTGTGTCACATAGGGGGGCGGGTCCCACGCTCTGCCCTCCAGCCCCCACCACACCTCACCGATGCCTGCCCGCCCCTTCCTCTTCAAGGACACTCCCTTGACAGACAGTGCCCCTCCTCGTGCCGTAATGCAATGACCGGACACATGTGAGCCAGCCTGTCCCCATCACGTGCTCCAGCTCTGCCCCGAGCAGGGCACCACGCTGGAGGTGTCAGAAGAGGCACCTCCGACACGTACAGACGCAGCGACTAGTGGACGCAAGTGGGCGCCGTCGCCCTTCCAGGCCCGAGGCGAGGCACAGGTGGCCGTTCCGTTCCCCACAGATCTTTCCTGAGTGTCTCTGATGGGCTCGGTGTTAGGACTAGAGGTGGGTGCCGACAACAGGCCGCTGTCCTTGGAGGACTCAGACCTTAGTGCAGGAAACAGAGTGAACCTATCAGGCCGATAAATGTGGAACTGGGGGATGCCTGGCCGGGTACCATCCCTATGTGAGGGAGTCAGGGAGGGCTTCCTGGATGAGGCAGCCTCCGAGCTGTGGTCTGGGGGAGGAGACAGATGTTCCAGAGGAGAGAGAGCCCGCGGGGCTCTGCTCCAGGAGCCTCGCTGGGCGCAGGGGGCTCAGAGGAGAGGTGATGCCCGACAAGGGCCTGGAGGGCCACGTTTAGGATCTGGCGTCTCTTCTAAAAGGTCATTGCAACTACCGCGTGACCTTGGGCCCGTTACTTCGCCTCTCTGTGCCTTGGTTTCTGTAAAGTAGACGGGACAACGTTACCGCGCCGGTGGCAGCGTTCAAGGATTAGGGTGACGATGGCTGCAAAGCGCTTGAGATGGTGCCGGATGCGGCGAGCGCCCCTGCGGATCTTAATAGCTGTTATTCTGTCACCGCTGTCACTCTTCCAGGGGACCGATGTCTCTGCCGCTCGGTCCCAGTTAAACATTGTTTATCCCCGTGACGAAGAGAGTCGGGAGCTGTTCCCCACAGGTGCGCCAGACGAGTCATTTCTCCCGTGATCTTGTTTTGTCCAGATTCCAGAATTCTCTGACGGCTTCTGGACTGGGTCCCAGCTGGCGTGCTGGACGAATTCCGAAGCGCCTTGGTCTTACTTCCCTAAAATCTCCATCTACCTGAGAGACGAGAACTCCAGCAGGTCCTTCCGCATAACTCTCCTGCCTCAGGTATGAGCTTGGATGTGGGCTTCTGTCTGTGCCGTGTAGCCTGCAAGAGTAAAGCGTCTCATGCCTAATGCGTGCAGCTGGATGTCACGCCTGTATCGGATAGCGATGGTTGGCTATGCGATCGTGCTGCGTAACAAACAGCCAGGAAAGCCAGCGGCCTTAACCATGAGCATTTATTCCTGCTCACGGGTCTGGGCAGTTCCGCCGATCATGCCAGGCTGGCTCACGTGTGTCCGGTCAGCTAGTGGTGGGCCGGGCCTAGGATGGCCTCACTCACGCGTCTGGTGGCCGGGTCAATGGAGTAATAGGACCGTGGTCGCTTGCCACCCAGCACTGCCTCACACAGCGGTGCAGGGGTCCGAGAGAGAGAAGAAATGCCCAGGGCTTCTGAGGTCTGTCTGGACCCAGAACTGGCCAGCACCTGTAGCACAGTGCTGTACAAACAAGGCCACAGCCAGATTCTTGGGGGAACGGGGGGGAGTAGACGCCGTCTCCCAACGGCGGGAGCTGCAAAGTCACAGCAGAAGGGTGTGGCTACAAGGAAAGGCCGAGAATCAAGGACATTTTTGCAGCATCTGCCATGGCAATGATACGTTTTTTACTTATCTATGAATAAATCATTCGATTCTCAGAGATGAAGACGTTTTTTCCACATTCAATAAATCGTGGATTCCTTCTTCATCCTAAGCATCTAATTCAATAGACGAAGCTCGTCTTCCTTAGCCTGTCCTTCCCGTGGCCCTCACTCACACCACTCACGTCCCCTCCGCCACTCCGGGAACCTCCAGAGTGCCCCCCAGGCACCCCCGGTCCCCACTCTGTGTTCCTCTCCAGACTTTTGCCAGATTAATCTTCCTAAACCACAGCCTTCAAACCCACCATTTAAAGAATGACGGCCCCTTTCCCCGGCGTGGCTTTTGATGACCTCCTCACTGGACCCTTCCTTGCTCTCCAGCCCATTTCCCGCTACACCCTTGACCCTCCTGTCGTCGGTCACCATCTTCCTGTACTTTGTCCTAACCTTCGCTTCCGCCCCTCCCCCACCTGAAATGCCCTCTCGTCCCGACTCCATCCTCGAAGACCCAACCCAAGCAACCGTCTTCCGTCGAAGCTCCGCCAAGCAGAATAACCCGTTTGTGAGCTCGGCCTTCAGGCTCATAACGCATGTTTTCTGGTCTTCGCCCCTGGCACGGGATCGTGCCTTTAGGGTATGAGCGATGCTATCACCTTGTCCCTTTGACTTCTGTTTTCAGAAAGAACGCACACACTTCTATGTCTTTCTCAGCTAAATGAGTAATTCCTCGAGGAGGAGAACCGTGAGTTTTGAAGCCCACCCTTCCTTCGGGTAGTGCCCGACAGAGATTCGTCAGATGCATAAGTCTGTGTGTCTTTGTCGTCATCTGATGAATCTGGGATAACAGAGTGGGATTAAGGGGCAGGAAAGGAAGGATGATTTCAGAAGAAACAAGTAGATGATAATCCTGTGTTTTCCTCCATTTTTAACTTTATGTGGGGGGCAGGGCACTCCAGAAACGGGCAGCTGTTGGGGAAAATACCGAAAGCATTGAGGAACACAGCCCAGCAGAGGACACACGCTCCGAGAGCGAGAGCCTCGAGTTACGGTCTCAGCACCGCCCTCGACACATTATAACTTTAAGCAGCTCGCTTAGCTCTTCCTGTCTGTCCCTTTATAAGGGAGAAATAATGCCACTTGCCAAAGACACGTTCAGAAAACTGCGGTCTCCTTGGATGAACAGCGCCACAAAGAATGATGTTGGAATGATACGTTTTAGCATCTTTAACATAACGTGCTCTTTACGGTCGCATGCGAGAGCCTCGAGTTACGGTCTCAGCACCGCCCTCAACACATTATAACTTTAAGCAGATCGCTTAGCTCTTCCTGTCTGTCTCTTTGTAAGGGAGAAATAATGCCACTTGCCAAAGACACTTTCAGGTCTCCTTGGATGAACAGCGCCGCAAAGAATGATGTTGGAATGATACGTTTCAGCATCTTTAACATAACGTGCTCAGCATCTTTAACATAACGCACTGTGGTCCGTCGAACGGCGATATGTGGGTGTCAGTTCATCGGCACGGTGTGTCACTGACGTTGAAACCTCGCTCGAGGACGAAGGTGAACGCGTGCTAGCAAATAAATGCCGTGCAGGTGGTTGGCAGCGTCCGGAGCGCCGACGAAGCAGGAGAAAAAACAAAAAACAAACAAACAAACAAAAAATGACGTTCAGGGGAAAATCCATTATGTCCAGGGCGGCTGACAGCCATCTAAACTGAAGGTTCGCTGGGGCTTGTCAGCAGCTTTTAGGGCCAGCTCTGGCTTGGGGACGGTGGGGGTGGTGCACCAAGCGAGGTTTGGGAGGATGGCATTTCACTGATACATCTCCGCCCGAGAATTTAGTCTTATTCTCACTTATGAGACTGTAGGTCTTCGTTCGTCGACCGACGTGCTCACATTTTCGATGTTTAAAAATCTTCTTGCCCCACGGTTTTCCTGGTTTCCTATGCTGGTGACACACGTGTTGGGGACAGTGCTGGGCCACCTCCTAACACCTCGGCTCTGCCCAGCCGGCCCCCTTCCTAACATTTAGGGGTGTCCCCAGAGTTTGGGAATGGAGTCCCTACAGAGGACCTGCCGGGCAGCGGCAGTAATAGGTGGGCAAGTGACCACTATCCGGAAACGGCAGCGTCAAAGGCGATTATCTTAAATTTCGTCTGTCACCGACACTGTTTTCCAAAACACATGGGCCAGATCCTGTCTGGCCTGTGAAAGAATCAGTCCCCAGCCCACAGGCGAATTCTGGTTTTTCGCTTTTTGTTTTTCACATAACCCTATCAATGGAAGTAGTTTCAGCCTAAGAACCACCGATTCGTCTATTCGTGCTGTTTTAGTTTAAGGCAGACAGTTTATTCAGAGATTCTGAAGCTTTCCCAACATGTTACAAGTTTACGGTCTGGAGTTTTTGCTGGAAGTCAGCTGGGACACACGTGGAAAGGACAGCAAAAGACGCAGAGTCCGTTCACCTCACATCTGCGTCCGCGTCATCGGCTGCATCATACATGACAATTGCTTGGGTTTATCATGGACTTAGTTCGCTCAAAGGTGGGCCTGTGTGTGTGCGTGCACATGTGCATGTGTGTGCATATGTGTGCACGTGTATGTGCGTGCCTGTGTGTACATGTGTGCATTATGGGTGTTGTGTGTGCATGTGCTGTGTGCATATGCGCACTGTGTGTGCTTGTGTGTGTGCTCATGTGTTTGTGTGTGTGCATTCGTATGCATGTGTGTGCATGTGTGCACGTGTGTGTGCATGTTTGCATGTGTGTGCTTGTGCATTATGTGTTGTGTGTGCTCATGTGTTTGTGTGTGTGCATTTGTATACATGTGTGTGTGCGTGTGTGTAGTGCATGTGTGTGTGTGCTGGTACATGTGTGTGTGCTCATGTGTTTGTGTGCATTCGTTTGTATGTGTGTGCATGTATGTGCATGTTTGCGTATGTTCGCTTGTGCATTATGTGTTGTGTATGCATGTGTTGTGTGCATGTGTGTGCTCATGTGTTTGTGTGCGCATTTGTATGCATGTGTGTATGTGTGTGCATGTGTGTGCTGCATGTGTGTGTGTGCTGGTGCACGTGTGTGTGCGTGTGTGTGCATGCGTGTGTGCGTGTGTTTCAGCGGCAGCTAAGGGGGCCCCTTTTCCTAGTTTAAGCCAATCCCCGTGAAAAGTCATCTGATTCGTTTAGCGCTGACAAGCTCGGCCGGCTCGTTGGTCGCACGCGTGTTCTCGGGCCTTCCTCCCGGCCTGCGGACCCCAGGTGCCCAGGCTGCGACGCAGTGAGGACTAAGGACTCCCAGCCTCAAAGACGGGTTCACGGACAGACAGACCGTCGTGCAGGCATCCGACTGCCGGCCAGGGCCCTGGACGCAGCAGCTACGTGACGTCCAGCAAGGGGCGACCCCGGGAGAGGCCATGCTGTGTCCCTACGCGCCTCCCCCCCTGACACGCCCCCCGTCCGGCCCCCCTGCGCAAGGCGTGCAGGACGCCGCCTCCCTCGGGTCTCGGCCTGACCCACACGTCCTCCCACCTCGACCTCCGGTTTGCTCTGTTCGGATCTAGGTGCCGTTCTGGGGCTTCCCTGTCACGAGGACTTGCGCCTCGTCCTTCCTCGGTCACCTGCAGTCTGCCTCCCGCCCTTCCGCCGCCACCCCCGAGGGCAGCCCCGCCCAAGGGCCTCCTTCCAGCCTCTGCTGCTCCCGCCACCTCCCCGCCTGTCCCTCACGCCAGCCGCAGGACCCCGCACTCTGCCTGTCCCTGAAGCTCGGCGCTTCCCCCCGAGCCTTCAGTGCTGTTCCCCTTAGGCGCAAAGCCCTCTTCTCACTCACTGGATACCGTATTGCGTCTTTGTAAATATTTGTCGTTATGTCCTGCGAAGCCGCTCTATGCTCATCATCGCCTCCATTTTAACACTTTGCTGTTAGAAAGCGGAGGGATCGTAGTTACGGGTAATGACGACAGTTTGCTCTCTGATGCTTTCAGTGTGGACGCGGTTCCCCACAGGCTCCTGCCCCCCGCCAGGGACTCTCGAGGGCCACACGTCACGTGTGTTTAACCCGCACGGCTCCTACCCATGTGGGAAATTCTTACCTGTCGCTGCTGTGGCTTCTCCCCGATTGGGATGGCTTCTCCCTCCCGTCCCGGGGAGCTCACGCTACCCGTGCCACGTCGCCCACTTTGACGTCCTCGTTGACAGAAGGTGCCACCGTCACTGTGGGAAGGTGGCGCTCTGGGGCGGGTCGGGAGCCACTGCAGTAGATCGCGAGAGAAGAGGGCGAGAGGGACCCGGACCGGGGTGGGGGTGACGGAGGTGGGAGAAGCGAGCAGATTCCGATTCGGTTTTAAGGCCGGCAGATGCTCGCCATGGTTTCGGTGGAGGGTAAGAGATCCTGGCCCCGTGCCCGGCGCCTCAGTGACTGGGTGTACCATGGATTTGCTGACCTGGAGAATATCGGGGGGACAGCAGATTCGGAGCCATGTCCAAAATTCCGTTTTTCAATGTCACGTTTGAGATGCCAGCTGAGCGATGGGGTGTGGCAGTGGCTGCAAAGATCGGGGCTGGAGATGAAGATGTGGGATGGAGTCTCAGCATAGAGCACAGGGGAGGAGGGGAGGACCCTGCGGCTGCACGGGTCACCTGGGAGGGAAGACGGAGGGAGGCCAGGGCTCTGGAGTTCTCAGATGCGGACAGGTGAGGAAGGCGAAGCACGTCCGGTACAGATGCCTGAGAGGGAGCAGCCAGGGACTTAGGGAGAAGAGAGGACCTGCGACCAGAAGCCAACGGAAGAAAGTTATGCAGGAGGGAGACTGAGCATCGCCCATGGACGGGGCCTGGGGGGGCGCTTCCCACTCAGTGTTCATGTACCTGCCTGCCACATAGGTGGGACGCTTCCATGGGACAGGACCAGGTGCTATTCCTCCTGTATCTCTAGTGCTGAGGACAGTGTCTGGGCCACATCAAGTGCTCAATAAATGACTGGGTGGATGGACACCTTCTGTACGGGAGCACCTGTGTGCAGTGACAGGTGGCGTACGTGTGTGTCTATCGTTTTCGGTGATGTTTGTCACCATGCTTACGATCTCGACTTCCAGATGGCAGGGTGGCACTTTCTTCCTCAAAGCTCCCCGTAGCACCTCGGAGGATCCTGACCATGCTGTGACCTCAGCAGTTGTACGACATTGCCTGATTCATACTTTTTCTTGTTTGTTTGCTCTTTCCTCTTAAACAGCTTTACATTCAGCCCATGATGGGGGCTGGCCTGAATTACGAGTGCTACCGATTCGGCATTTCGCCTTCCATGAACGCGCTGGTGCTCGGTGCCACCGTGATGGAGGGCTTCTACGTGGTCTTTGACAGAGCCCGGAAGAGGGTGGGCTTTGCAGCCAGCCCCTGTGCAGGTGAGTGACCCCTGCCTTGGACAGGGAGACCTAGCTGGGGTGCTTTAAGTCAATTAACAATTCTTGATGAGTCAGATGCCGTTGGATTGTTTCACGCATGCCTATCATCGGCGATCGAAGTCATCAATAAAATGTACTGTGGGTTGGTCAAAAGAAAAAAGCGAGATGATCTCTGTAAAACTTTTAGTCCCGTGCTCGGCGTGTGGCAAATGCTCAATGAGTGTTAGGCGTTACAGTTCTCGTTCCTATTACACGTGCGATGGCGCATCATTCCAGGAGTGAAAACACCCCCTGGAGCCTGGGGGATGAATATAGTTTTTGACGATAAAACTGGAATGAATAAAGAAGAAAATGTATAGCTAAGCTGTATATGTTTTTTCCCCTCAGAGAAATCCCCATTATAAAACAAGAAGTAAATGCCTGTCATTGCTGGGGTTTGGGGGTTTTTTTAAACCCTAAAACAATGAGACCAAGGAACCCATTTTTCTCATAGAATTCCTTTGAGGAGATGGCATCAAGTGACACAGGCGCGTTAGTCTGTGACGCCTAGCTTGGGGCTTGGGCCAGTCTTCAGAGAAGCCAGAAGAATATGATAAAGGTGGTAGAATAGTTAAACTCCTTAAATTTGAAAATGTCTTCAGACGTGACGGTTTGCTTGAAATGGAGTATTCCCACTGCACAGGCTTTGGTGGAGGATCGAGCTAGCAAGGACAGGCGAGTCAGAGACCCAACTGCGGGAGATGGGGAGACGGTGCGAGGGCCAGGGAGCGGCCGCAGAGCTGTAGCTTCCAGATGGGATTGCGGAGGGTGGGAAATTCTGCAGAGGGTGGGAAATTTCGCGGAGGGTGGGAAATTCTGCAGAGGGTGGGAAATTCTGGCGCGTTGGTCAGCGTCAGCAACAGAACGCAGCCTCGAAGTTGTGCCGGTCATGTGAATAATTAAGCAAACGTGAGGTCGAAAAATGAACTGATGACGAGGAGGCGAGACAAGAGAAAACTGGGGCCTTACAGTGGGATACAAGATCACCAGGCAGTGAAGGAAAGGCAACATGAATTGGATGAAAGAAAGCTTTAACCTTAGAGATGGTTGCAGGACAAGTGAGGATGCTCGCTGGCCACGCCGTAGCCTCAGCGGTCACCAGACCATCGTTCTGATCTAAAACCATCAGCAGCGTTTGGAGATGAGGGGTGCAGGCAAAATGCTCATCACAGCTGGCTTATTCGGAAGGGGGAGAGTTCAGTTTATGACTTCTTACTGCCCAAGTTGTGGTCTGAAAATGGGAATCCTGGTGAACGAAGCAGGTAGGTGACGCTTCATATTGTCATTTCAACACACCGTCATTCCTGCAAAGTAAAACAGGGACTCGGAGAACAGAGGGAGAGAAATAGTAAAAGGAAAAATTTCATCTGGAACATTAGGCCTGTTCAAATATGGCTACGTGCATATCTGATATGTTGCAGTATCTCTTCTTCGACTCATGTTAGTGAACAGACTCGAGGTCCTTGAGACGTGTCATTTTCTAAATCTTGGTCATGAGCAAATGTGTACCTTCGAGATGCGCGTTAACTCCTCCAGCCTGTTGGATTTTCACTGAGGGGTACCCCTCTCGGTGGCGTTGTCTGGGGCTGTACAACCTGAAACACTGCTGTATCTCTCAACTGTGACTGTTCTAACTTCTTTCAACCCAGGGAATCTAAGAACTAAAGCAATTTCCCCCCCAATTTCTGTTCTCTTGTTAAATACTATCGAAGTAGAGGCTACTATGGCAACAGCCACGATGCTGTCCGCTCTGGCTGGGACCGCGGAGAGCATAACCACCGTCTGTTTCCTGCGTGAATCGCTGTTGAAAACAGTTTAATATTAAGCGTCTCTAGGCAGAGATGCTCTCCTGCATTGCATCGCGAATTCTTTGTTAGGTGCTCTTATTTAAGTTTTCTGTCGCCATTCTCTGAAAATATATTACCGGTTTGGGTACTTAACCATTAGATTTTTTAGCAGCAGTAGGAATAGACCCTCATTATGTCTCCTCTCCAGTGCAAATCATTGAGCCGTGAAAGTAATTTACTTTCCTGGGGCCGCAATTAGGAGCGAGGCAGCAGTCTATGGCACCCTAATAAATGGAAGGCGCACCCTGCCTTTTTTTCAAAGTGTTTATGTTTAATTTATAACATGTTTTAAATAGCAAAGAGAATGTTTTAAATTACAGGAAATCATCTACTAGATATACACTTAATGGAACACCCGGATTTAACAAATGCTAATATTCGGTTGTATTTTCTTCAAAAATGTGTTCTAGAAATAAAAAATAAGTATAGCTAGGCCCCTCTTTGCTGCGTTCCCTGTGGTTACCCTTTATCCTGAAATAGGTGTACGTTCTTCTCATAATTACCACACATTTATAATTTCACTGCGCAGCTAAAAGCACCCTGGGTTAGTTATGATTCTGAAACAACTTAACCCCCAAGTTAACCACACTTTGTGAACGCGCGCAGTCACCGGGGTCAGGAGTGGCCTTGCTGGGCAGTGCCGCTCCAGGGTCTCTCATCTGAAGGCTGCAGGGGCCACTTCCAAGCTCAGTGACGTGGTCGGCAGGAGCCCTCCAATGCTTGCCATATGGACCTGGCCACAGGCCTGTCTGAATGTCCCCAGGATGGGCACCTACCTGGTCACCTCAGAGCAAGTGACCCCAGAGAGAGAGAGAGAGAAGTGTGCCACAGAGCGCCCAAGATGGAAGCCATAGTGTTTTTGTAACCTAATCTTGGAAGTGACACGCTGTCACTTCTGCCCTATTCTGTCGGTACACGGCAGAGGAGACTACACAAGAGTAAATACCTGGAAGCAGGGTCGCTGGGGGTCATCTTAGAAGCTCACCGCCGTACTACTATAAATAAATGCTAGGAACACAGACTGGTTGGTTTAGGTTTTCTGGTAGTTTTAATTTATACGAATGCTAGTGTACGGTGATTATCCTTTGCCAACTTGGTTTTATTCCTCAGTGTTACGTTTTCTAGATTTTTCATGTGACGAGTACTAGATCATTCTTTTTGGCTGCTGTATAGTATTCCATTGTATGAATATACCCAGATTATTTACCCAATCTTGTTTTGATGAACATTTGGGTCGTTTCGAATAAACAGTACTGCAGTGAACATCCTTGTGCAAGTGAGTGGGATCTTCTGGAAATAGAATGTCTAGATGATTTGGTATGTGCTAGTCTGATAGGTGACAAAAATTATCTCGGTGTCGTTTTAATTCATTTTACTTTATATGGGTGAGGTCGAGTTTCTTTTTGTATTTCTAAAAGCATTTGTTTTTTTCTTTTCTGCGACAATCCACTCATATCTTCTTCCAGTTTTTTTTGTTAGGTTTTTAGTTTTTTATATTTATCTGTAGGAGCTCTTTATGTAATGGAAAAATTAACCATTCAGAGGGAAAATGCTATAATTCTTCTCTCAGCTGTAAATGACATTTGAACTTATAATGGATTATAATATACAAATGTTTACTTTTATGTATATAAATATATCAATCTTTTACTTTAAGCTTTTTGATTTATGTCACATATTAAATGGCCTTCCCCGCTGAAATTTTTTTGAGATTTATTCAAGGCATTTATGTTTGATTTACCTTGGCATAGAATGTGTAGATGAAAACATTTCTCCCCAAGATGACTATCCCATTGTTCATTTATCAAATAATTCATTTTTCCTTCACTAATTTGAAATCCCAGTATTATTGCCTACCAAATCCCAGTCAATATTTGGAAGATAGATATTTATTTCTGGGTTTTCCGTTCCATTGCATTGATGTATCTTAAAGTATTTGTTTCCTTTCGTTCTTCTTTTTTCAAAACTTTCTTCCTGTTCTTTCTTAATTTTCTTTCCTTTATGAACTCTTGAATCAGCTCGTTTAGTTTTAAAAAGCCTTATGGGATTTTAGTCAACTTTTAATCACTTTAAACATAGCCATGGTATAATTTCAAGCAGACTGTATTTTTCGATCATCTATGGATAGTTAATTTCATTTTCGAATCTGCCGACTATTCTCTCACAGTGGTTTTGTTTTTGTTTTTGTTTTTTTTTCTTGCTTGGTTTGTAATTTTTTGTTGTGAGCTTATCTTTAGGAGGAGTATTGTTTTTGTTTTTCCTTCTGGGAGAGGTCAGTGCACCTTGGTTTGTAAATTTGTTGCTAAAAAGCAGTTTTGCACTTGATTCTGCTGAGTGTCCTCAGACCATGAGAACGTCTGGATTTCTCCACCGCACTGTGTAAATTTAGATTCCAGCCGTGGAATCTTGAAGTACGATCTGGAGGCTCCGTTCCTCACAAGAGATTCTTTCTCGTCTTCCTCAGACCTTGGACAGTCAACCTTCCAAATTGGTAGACTTGTCCAGCTCCTGCCACCAATGGACCAGGATGTCACTGGCATCTCGGCTCCAGGGTCCATCTCCTCGGTGCTAGGGTCAAGTCTTCTGCCCCCTCCTCCCTCCGCAAACACCTGGGCATTAGATCCCCAGCCCTAGTGTGTATTTCTGGGCTCAACTGCATGTGTGAAAATTGGGAATTATATTTTACTCTCATTTCTCTGTGTTATAGTTGGAAGAAGCTCCACGTTTGTGCCAACGACCGGCACCTGATAGAGTCCTTCTCTCGATGTCTTTTATTTTGGTTTCCATACTAATTCATGCTTGACAGACAATACCTGCCTTACAGGACTAGGCTTCTCTGCGAGGGCTGGGACAGGCTAGAAAGAAAGCGGTAAGTGGGAGTTCTTTGAAGAAGCTCCCGGGAGCTTTTTAAGTACACATGGTCCACATCCCCATCCCCTTTTTCAGCCAGGATAGATCAGAATGGCGATGGGTGGAAAGGTGATGG